TGAACATTACCATTGAAATCTACCCGATGACTTCATAGACATACGCAGGCACCAAGGATCCAAGTGCAACCGATTATGACTACTAATAGTCAGATACATACAGATTTGAGATGCATGTGCCAACATCTCAGGGTTAGTAGCAAGAACAATAAGTACTTCTGCAAGGAACAATATATTTTAAAATTAAATGGAGTTCTTTTTCAAAGGTTAAAAACTCATTCAATTTTATGTCTTACAGGGCTTATACTGAGTTCAATATTGTATAACTGTATTAATTCAACTGTGAACCTAGAAACTTACAGCCACTTGTGAAAGAGATGTACTCTTGCTCTTGAGTGTGATACTGAATATGTTAAAGCTATAATGAAATGCTTCTTCTAATTATGTAGTTATTAAAAATTAAAAAAAATTACTTCATGTTAAATAGTAGAGGTGATAAACATTACCACTGAAAGCTACCTGGTGATTTTATATCCATACTCAGGTACCAAGGATCTGAGTGTAACCGACTGTGACTAGTAATAATCAGATACATAGAGATTAAAGACACATGTGCAAACATGTTAGTAGCATTAAAAATGTAAGAAACAGCATATCTTAAAAAAATGAAATAGAGATCTTCTTTAAAGGGTAAAAACTCATTCAATTTTATCTCTTACAGGGTTTATACTGAGTTCAATATTGTATGACTGTATTAATTCACCTGTGAACCTAAAAATTTACAGCCACCTTTGAAAGAGATGTATCCCTGTTCTGGAATGTGTTACTGAATATGTTAAAGCTGTAATGAAGTGCTTCTTCTAATTATGTGGTTATTAAATTTTAAAAAATTAAAAAGAAGAGTTTGTGTGAAACCACCTCTGGCAGAGGTGAAGGGATTTAATAAAAAAGATTTTCACATAAAAAAGTCAGATATAAGTTACTGAGATATTATTATTAAAATACAGATATATCAAGAAGAGAGATAATCTGTAGTATTCAGCTGTATATTATTGGATGATAAATGCCAGCCACTCACAGCCACCAATAAATGAGTGTTAGGTACAGAGAAAAGAATGGATAGTGTGTGTGTGTGTGCACGTGCATGCGTGTGTGTGTGTGTGTGTGTGTGTGTGTGTGTGTGTGGTGTTGGGGATGGAACCCAGGGCCAAATACATGTAAGGCAAGTACTCTATTACTGAGCTACAACCTAGCCCAAGAAAGATTGTTTTTAAATGAAGAAACCACAGCTCAGAGAACTTTAATCACTCCCCAGTTGTCGAACAGGAATGGTGTCAAAGCGCCATATGAATTACTTCACTGTTTTGCACAAAGAGCCCGGAAACCTATTTCTTTCTTCTTTGAAAATACGAGCAACTATTGGTGAGAGTTCCAAGGATAGTAGAAAGCTACTGATGAGAATATTTCGGGGACTATAGATGATTTCAGATACAAGTAGTTTAATCTGTTTGTGTGCCTTCGTGTACACTGATTGATGAGTGACTTGATAGATAGACTTGATAGATGGGTGAACGCTTTCATTTTCCTGTAAATGTTTCTTTTACTGATAGAGAATTCTGTTGAAAATAATTTATTTTATGTACTTTGTAAAATCTTGTAAATTTTGGTTCGGTGGTATGTGAAACTATATTTCATTCCTTTGATCCTTTGAGCCTGGTTTGGAAGAAAGAGCTAGAATTGACACCCCCAAAAGGAGATAATAGGCAAATAGGTAGTAAATATTCCTGTAGTGACATCTTGGAGAGAGAGAGAGAGAGAGAGAGAGAGAGAGAGAGAGAGAGAGAGAGAGAGAGAATAAAATGAGCATTACAAAGAACTGCACTTGCTGAGTGTTCTCAGTTCTGATTTGCATAGGGGCCTGTGAACATGTGCCTAGGGAGATAAGGGAAAAGAGGTAAGTAAGGGCTGGAGGAAAGGGAAGACAAAGAGGCAGAAAACTAGAAGAATGGAGAGGGGAGAAGGGAGATGGACGAATAGAGGGAGGATACATATGTATACTTAAGCCTGTTGCTCCCCTATACCCACAACCCCAACCCCCGTGCTTGTATTAACATTTGGTCATCAAATCCATTCTAATCCTTTTCTTAGACTGCCAGTTACCAACCATTTCAGCTCCCAGAGAAACTTGACCAAAAGGAAGAGAAAGAGAAAGAAGCATTTTAATTTCTCTAAGATATCCTCATTTATCTTCTAGACATCTTCCCTTTGGGAAGTAAGAATCTGATATCCCAGAAAACTTTCCTTTCCCTCCACTAGAATGCTGCTACTGCTCCTCCTTCTATTTTCCTTGTCCTCTTTATCCAACATCAACCTTATCTTTGTAAGAATTTTTCAGGCACCTTTTCTAAAAACATTTGACCAATTTCATCACGGGTTTTCAAATTTTAAAGGTTAAACAAGTTTGGATGTAAGCACCCCAGAATTCAGCTCTTCTTTTTCCATTTTGTTTTGACAGGGTCTCATGTAACACAGGCTAGTCTCAAACTTGCTATGTAGCTAAAGATGACCTCAATCCTCTATGTAAGTACTCCTCTCCATTTACCTCCTCAGTGCTGTGATTACAAGCAGCTGTGCGCCATACTCCCTGGCTAAAACAGAATTTAAGTAAATCTTGCAATTTCGTTGCAGAGGTTTTAGGCTTCTTTCTGTAAAGGACAGAATATTTTATTTTTAATCATTTATTTTGTGTGTGTATGTGTGTGTGCTTACGTATGTGTGCACATATGTGTGTGTGTGTGAATGCAGGTGAGTGCGCTTGTTGGGGTATTTATGTGGAGTTCAGAGGACAGCACTTTTGGAGCTTCCCACTTTGTTTTGAGGCAGAGTCTCCTGTTTTGGCTGCATTGTGTACTCCAGGCTAGCTGGCCTGCAAGCTACCAGCCCTTTCTGCAGTCTCTGTCTCTCATCTTATTGTAGGAATATTCTGATTATCGTGCTTGCTACCACATTCAACTTTACATGTGGTTACTAGGGATCCAAACACACACCCTCCTCAGTCTTGTCAGGCTTGTGTGGCAAGTAATTTTCTCTGCTCAGTCATTCCCCAGTCCAGGATAAGAAATTTTAACATGACTTCTTTATCTTTGACTAAACCAGAAAAATCTTCCTTCCTGCATATTCATGAATACGGCCTCGTATTTGAGGGAATTTTGAACAAAGTTTTATGTAAGATTGTTGCCTGAGGGCCATTCACTTAGCAAACTCTCACCTTTTATATCTTTGTTGAAAAAAGGAACTGAATTGAACTGTTGAATTTCAAATTTGTGTGTTATCATATAATTTTAATAAGAGTCTGAAGATGGATCACTCAGGTAAAGAGAGAAACTTTAGAATTCATCAAAATTTTCTACTCCCCACCCAGTGTATTTTACATAAAATGACACAGATTTTCTTAACAACCTTAATGGTGTGCTATTATAATATAGCTGCAATATTATACCAGAAGTATTATCAGTGTTAAGTAGTCTCCAATTTAGAATGCACGAATAAATTATCTAAAAGACTTAAGAAATCCATTTTTCCTCAGATAAATGATCTGAAAGTTCAAAAGGTTAAAGAAACATTTCTTCTTATATGAAAGGTGGCATGTATTTCAGAATAGAATTTATTATTCTTTTTTGTGCTGCTGGGGATTGAACTCAGAGCATTTCTGCTACTGAGCCACATGCCCAGGTCCTCTCTCCCTGTCTTTCGTTTTTATTTTGAGACAGTCTCACTAAGATACTCATTCTGAACTTGAACTCAGACTTTGAACCCATAGGTCCTCCTGCCTCAGCCTCTTGAGCAGCTGGGATTACAGGTTTCTGCGACCAGGTCTAGCTCAAAGTAGAGATCTCGCCTCTTCCCTGTTCCCTTCCTCCCCCTCCCTATTCCTTTCCTCCTCTCTTCTGTTTTCTGGGATTCATGTTGCCCAGCATTTTCTGTCATTTGTTTTCTTTATGATAGCCATTCTGACTGGGGTAAGATGGACTCTAAAAATAGATTTTTTTTTTATATTGTGCCAAATCATAAGACAAAGGACACTGGACATTAAGAAAGAGGTTCACCCCAGTCTTTGGGATCCATTGCAGTTACTTTTCTTCTTGTGAGTACTCTGCTAGCATTATCACAAAAACCAAGACAAAAAAAGCATAATTTTTTTGAGACAGTGTCTCCTGTATCTCAGGTCGACCTCAAATTCACTAGTAGGCAAGGATGACCTTAAATTCCTGATCTTCCTTCATCTACCTCTCAAGTGCTGGATTTATAGGTATGCACAACCATACCCGGCTTCAGAATACATTCTTAATGATCATTTGTGAGCTTCCTGTTGATGCATTTAGAAACTTCCTTAGCAGTTTCATTGTCAAAACATTGTATAGAGAGTTAAATATCCATGAAGGAAACAGGGACTCTGTTCCTTTCATTACATGATATCCCAAAGTCACCCTGGATGCTGCTGGCCAGTCAACAGATAGGAAAGCAGAAATAGAAAAGATATAGGTGCCTTACGTTGGCCTGAATGTCTTGAACACCCATTCCACTACTATTCGATTGGTGAGAACTTGTCATAAGGTGTATTAGTTACTTTTCTGTTGCTATGATAAAACACCATGACCAAGACAACCTATGGAAGGTAGAGTGTATTGGGCTTATGGTTCCAGAGGGATAAGAGTCCACCATGACAGGGGAAGCACGGCAGCCAGAGGAGAAAGGTGAGCACTCACGTCTTCAAGCAGGCACAGGATGCTCAGAGATAGACTGGAAGTGTGACCAGGCTATGCCCTCTTAAAGCACACCCCCAGTGACATACTTCTTTTAGCAAGGCCACACCTCTTAAACCCCCACAAACAGTACCATCAACTGGAGACCAAGTGTTCAAATACTTGGAGCCTATGGAGAATAACCTCATTCAAACCACCATATGAGGTCACATTAGATGCAAGAGGAACTGAGAAATAATGTTGAGCATGATAAAAGAGCACTTAAGATATTTAGCGGATCCTAAATAGGTATCTTTGCCTCAGCTAGCTTTTGCCAGTAATCAAGTGTTTGTCTCAGCCCTAAACCTATTCTTCTATACCCTGCTTTGGGATAGTAGCAATAGTATCATAAAGATACAAGGTCTCATACTAGACCCTGCCTCAAACTGCAAACCAAATTTCTGCCTTGTCTACTGGCTCTGTGTTAGGTTCTCCCATTAGGGGTCAGTAGAGAAAAGACTGAAGGAGGAAAAGACTTGTTCCTTCCTGTTTGCTGACTGCAGGTTTCCTGTCTGCTTGTGCTTCCTGTGATCACTTCAGCTTTGCTTCTTCACTCTGATAATAGCAAATCTTTCCTATAGCACCAGCAGATCCAGTTTGCAGATTTTCCATCACTTGGAAGAACCAGCCTCATCATGCTTTGCTCTGAAACAACACCTAAGGTCCGTGCCCCTCCTCAGATTTCTCTATCCCAGGACTGCAGTATCTTCATGCAAGCTCAGAGCTCAGCACCAGGCAATTATGACTTCCCTCTCCCCCAAGTTTAAATAATTACAATCTCTTCCTTTACTGAATTCACCCAGCCCAGGGATTACCTCTTACACGTTATAAATTTATGATACTTTAGAACAATACTATCTAATAAAACTATAATGTCCACCATATATTAGCTGTTAAGTTTTTAATACATTAAAAATTGAAATCAGTGAGTTTAACGTTAATTTACTCAATCCAGTATATGTGATGTGCTTTCATTTCAGTGTGCAATCATTGTAAGAATCATCAATGAGATATTTTATATTTTATATGATCTCTTTGCAATCAGGAGTGTATTTTATATCTGTAACATATCTCAATCTGAATAATAAAATTTTGCCGTAAATACTTGTTCTGCATTTAGATTTCATAAAACGTGCAGTTGAAAATGTGGGTTCACCTGTTCAAGTTGTTCCAGACATATTTAAAACTTTTCTAATAACTGGAGTGTCAGTTTTATTTTATTTCAACTTTTTATTTTGAAATAATTAGACACTCACAAGAGCTTATAAAAAGTAGTTCAGAGAGGATCCAGGTATCCATCACTCATCTTCCCCCATTGGTGCCGTCTTCCATTTTTATACAGCATTGTCAAAACCAGAAAACTAATTAACATAATATAACTAACTAGATTATGAATCTTACTCAGGTTTTACCACTTCAGCATGCACATGCCACTGTTGAGTGTCTTTGTGATTATATGTCATTTTCTCAAACATACTGATTTTCATAACCATCACTGACACCACAACCAAGAGAGAATTAATGGATGTTGCATAGTGTCCTTTTACTTCTGCTTTCTTCCCACCACTTCATTCTTGGCATCTACTTTATTGTTCTACATCTCTCTGGGACTTTATTTAGAAAATGTTGTATAAATAGAATCATACAGTGTGAAAACTTTTGGGGTTGATGTTTTTACTGAACCGAATGCTTTTAGAATCCATCCAAGGTGTTGAGTATATCAACAGTTTGTTTTTATTACTCGGTACTATTCCAAGGCATACATGTAGTATATTTAACTACTTATCAGTTGAAGAAAATTTGGTTTGCTTTTGATTTGGGGCTATTATAAATATAACTGCTAGGAACATTTGAGTAAAACTTTTTCATTTTGTTTTGAGACAGAATTTCCCTGTGTAGCCCAGGCTGGCCTTGATCTTGTGGTTTTTCCAACCTCAGCTTCCTGAGTTCTGAGATTATAGGCACCTAGCTTGAGGACAGCTTTTGGGGTAGTTATGAGATTTAGTTTTGGGGGATAAATGCCCAGGAATGTTATTACTAATCCACATGGTAACTGTATGCTTAACCTTTTGAGAAACTATTAGAATTATTTCCAGAGTGGCTATATTATTTTATAGCCCTGACATCACTATGCACCAGATCCTAGTTCCTGTGATCATCAGCATTTGGTTTTATCAGTTTTCTGTAGTAGCTATTTGAATAGATGTGTAGTAGCATCTCACTGTGGTTTTAATTTTCATTTCTTTCTTGATTAGTGATGTTGAACATCTATTTGTGTATCTATCTGCCATGCGTATAATCTTTGATGATGTGGTTGTTCAAGTCTTTTGTTTGTCTAAAAATTGGGTGGTTGGTTTCCTAGTTGAGTCAGGGATTTTTTTTTAACTTTAATTAAAAACATTTTTATTGACCTTTTTTACATTTCATACAAGAGTTCTTAATCAAATTTAAACTCCCTCCCCCATTTATGCCCCCACCACCAGACCTCATACATGTTAAGTCCTATCCAGTCAAGCATTTGTTCCCATATGGCCTTTGGTGCAAATTCATCCACTGGAGTCTGGTCAGCCTATCTAGAGATCATTAATAAGGTGAGTTAGGGATTTTAAAAAATATTGGGGTGACTAGCACACATATTCTGTCTGTATGTTATTTTTATCCTCAGCATAATCTTTCACGGAACAAAAATTCTGTGAATATTTCATTAGCTTATTGATTTTTCCCCATTTTACATCATGAATTTGTTGTGATGTCTAAGTACCCTTGCTAAATCTTAGTTCATCAAGGTTTTCTTTTATGTTCTCTCCTAAAAGTTTATAACTATACATTTAAATCAGCAATGTAATTTGAATAAATTTGTCATATAAGGGATGAAATTTAGGTCCAGATTTATCATTATTATCTTTCCCATAAATGTCCAATTTTTCCAGCAGCATTTATTGACACTACGACAACAAGAACTCCATATTTCTTGGGGGTGGGGTTCCCATAATAGATGTCAACTTGTGTATGCTCACAGTGAAGGACTACTCAGCCTAAAGAGGAATGTTGTTGAATTTCCATTCCTCTTTTGACTGAGTAGTATTTCACTGTGAGCAAAATCCTAGGGAACAGAGTGTTTTAGGTTTCAGAGATTTTGGACTTTGGAATATTGGCACATACATAATGAGATATATTAGAGATAGGACCCAAGTCTAAGCACAGATTACATTTACGTTTCTGGAGAAATAGCCTGAAAGCAAGTTTTAAAAGCCCCTAGTTTTCCTACGTTTTAACTGCTACCCATCACATGAGGTGTCATGTGAAATTCTGTGCTTGTGATATTCAGTGAATAGCTCAAAACATTTCAAATTTTGGACCATTTCAGATTTCAGAATTTTGGATGCTCGACCTATATCAAAATTTGTTTATTCATTCACCTGATGGCAAGCATTTGGGCTGCTTTTGGTTTTTATCCATGATAAATGCTAAATATAACGGACATTCATATTACATATAACATTCTTACCCACCTACATTTATTGTTCCCTTTCTTCTTCTCACCCCCTGTTCTAGCTTGTTTCTCCATTGCTGTGACGAAACACTCTGACCAATACCAGCTTGGGGAGGAAAGGGTTTATTTGTCTTACATCTCCCAGGTCACAGTTCATCAGGGAGCCCAAGGTAGGAACTCAGGGCAGGAACCTGGAGGCAGGAGCTGGAGTACGGGCCATGGAGGATCACTGCTTACTGACTTGCTCCCTGGCCCCTACTCAGCCTGCTTTCTTATGCAACACAGGCCCACCTGCCCAGGGGTGGCACCACCCACAGTAGCTGGCCCCTCCCACATCACTCAACAATCAAGAAGATGCCCCATGGACATGGCCACAGGCCAGTCCAATGAAGGAAATTCCCCAATTGAGGCTCCCTAAACCCAGGTGAGTCAAGTTGACACTAAAGTTATCCAGCACCGACCCCCCACCTCCACCTTTTTCTTTTTTTTTAACTTTTAGCAGCACTGGTGCTGGGGGTTGAATACAGGGCCTTACACATGCTAGTCAAGTGCTATATCACTGAGCTCCATCCCTAGCCCATAAGCTTTTATTTCATTTGGGTAGATAAAGAACAATGGATGGATCAGTTTTGAGGTATATGTTTAATTTTGAAGAAGTTACATTAACAATGTAATATTTTAAACCATTTCCATTCTCACCAGCTGTAGAAGAGAGTTCATTGACATCCTGAGCAATATTTTATAACATTCTTTTAACATTTAAGCCATTCTAGGTGGTGTGTGTGTGTACAGCTCATTGTGTTCTTGATTTGTATTTACCTAATGACAATGATGTCATACTTCTTTCATATGCTTCTCTGCCGTATGCATGTCTTATTTGGTGAAGTGCCTATTCAACTCTTTTGTCAATTTTATATTGATTATTGATTGAA